CACCTACCAGCATGTCTTTGGAGTCATTGTTAACTACATAAATGGTATATTCAATCAATCAATCACATGATCAGCAAAAATGATGCAATGATTTTTGACCTTTCTGAACCCTCCAACTCTCAAAGTGTCTCTCTGCCCAGGTGACAATCAGTATCTAGTCCCACAATATACATGACAAACTTCCTTGTCCCTAGACATCCTTGTGTCTGGTCTTGCAATGCAGGGACAATGGTTTCAGGTTTTACTTTATATTTTTTCTTCTAATACACATTTTGGAGGGCACACTGGGTAACAACTGCAATAATTTCCCTCTATGACCAAAAGTGTTGTTGCTTTTACTTCTGGGGTAACATTTTCACACGCACATGCGCTCTACATTTTTTGAACTGTTTACGATAAATTCCACTACTAATGTTTAGAAAATCATGCAACAAAAATCCGGTATGATGATTCGTATTTTTTTTGGCATAAAACTTTGCATTTTCGAGAATCTAAATGAGCCCACTAACATTTTGAAAATTGAGCGAACAAGCGTATTGAACATTTTTGAACAATTTTCTATCCAGCTTTAGGCCTCATGCACACTGGGCATAAAAAATGCTGCTTCTAAGGGCCTTTGGTGGTTTTTTTTCTGCTTCTAAAAGCCCCTCAATGTCCATGCACCCATAGGCATTTAGCAGCAGAAGTGTTTTTAAAGGCAGAAAAAAAAACATCACTTATGCATTCAGGAAAGGAGTGTTATGCAGGCCATAGACGGTTCGTTTATTGGCCGAAATTTTGTCCACACAAAAAATCAGCCGATATTCACGCCGTTAGTGGGGCCAGCCCATCGGTGGTTTTTTGCGGATCTTCTCATTTACTTTTATCAGTTATGCTGGAAAATCCACGAAAAACAGCCGTGTTCCGTGGACATTGGTGGCAGCATTGGCAATGGGACCGACCGGTTTTTAATTTAGCAGCCGAAAAATGGCCCGTCTATGGCCTGCATAAGGACAGAAAAAATGGCCAACTTGCCTAAACTCTTTTAAACAAGTGTAAACTCTAGGTGCGTTTTGCACTAGAGCAGGGGCATCAAACTGGCAGCCCTCCAGCTGTTGCGAAACTACAAGTCCCATCATGCCTCTGCCTTTGGGAGTCATGCTTGTAACTGTCAATCTTGCAATGCCTCATGGGACTTGTAGTTTGGCAACAGCTGAAGGGCTGCCAGTTTGACTCTGGTGCACTAGAGCATTCATTTATTTTAATGGACAAAATAAATGAATATTCTGGCTAATTAAATGAATGAACGGCTTATTAAATGAATGAAATGCTTGACGTGTCTGAACATGTCTAAATGTGCTTAAACATGGTTGAAAAACATGGCTTTGGGCCAGGATAAAGTCATTTAGAAGAGCTGGGTATGAGGCCTTATCCTGGCCATACACTAATAGATTTTCTACATTTGTCTGAAAATTCTCTGTACATTTGATGACTTGATGAATGTCATTTGAATGCACTTTAAAATGTCACTAATCCAAAGCCAGCAAGACAGGCTCCTGATCATTGGATGTGTAGGTACTGGAAGACTTTCCTTGGTTAGGCGCTGTGAACACAAGTCTGATCAGGGGGCAGGTAGATACACTATATTGCCAAAAGTATTGGGCCAGCCCTCCAAATCATTGGATTCAGGTGTTTCAATCCCCTCCATGGCCACAGGTGTATACAATCATCACCTAGGCAGACTGCTTCTACAAACATTGGTAAAAGAATGGGTCGCTCTCAGGAGCTCAGTGACTCCAAGCGTGGTACCGTGATAGGTTGCCACCTGTGCAATAAGTCCATCCGTGATATTTCCTGGCTACTAAATATTCCATAGTCAACTGTTAGTGGGATTGTAACAAAGTGGAAGCAACTTGGAACAACAGAAACTCAGCCATGAAGTGTAGGGGACATAAAATGACAGAGGGGAGTCAGCACATTATTTCTGAAAAGGTGGACTAACACTTTAACCCCCTGCCTACTAATTCCCTTGGACACCACATGCCATTAGTAGGTCTGTGTGGAATCTGAATGGGACCTTTTCATGTCAATAGCTGAGCACGCTTCACACCCTTGGCTCCAACATTGTGATGGGCACTTGCATAAGAAAGAAAGCTTCATCTCCATCTACCACAAGAACTTTCCACTGTCCATTGTCTTGCTTACCTACATCTCTCTCCTCTGATAGTAACACTAAACCCACAACAATATAACCCCCTGTAAAGCTGGCCATACAAGAGCAGAATTTTCAAAGGCTTGCATCTAAACCGCCCTGCCTCTGAGCTCACTTTTTAGAATGTTTTGACAAGCGGTGAGGACGCAAGATAATGCCTCATCAGCTCCTGTTTTAACCCCATAATTGTTTCATTGACTTCTCACAATAATTAATTAACATCAACTTTCCACAATTAAAAAAGTAACATCAACTTCCCACAATGAATGTGGTGGCAGGGCGTTTGTAGTGCTTCCCCATTCACCTGAGTGGGTCGCATTTGGTGGGCTTACTGCCCACTGAATGCAACATGCAAGGCTGCTGTTAGAAACCAGAGGACCCCATACAGCCAACCTGACAGGGCCCCCAAATAAGCAGTTTACTATGCTTCAGTTATTAATGTGCATAGTAAGTGATCAGTCAGTAATGATCACTCATTATGTTCATTCAGAAAAGGAAGGAACTGGTAAATGTGACATATTTATTTGACCCTTCCCCCACTCTCTATCCTGAAGGATCCTATTGTGTGCTGGCAGCTGCCAGTGGGAAGGAAGCCGGGAGCACTTTGGGGATAGGGGACACACAGGGGGAAACGTATGGTGCACAGGGAGGGTGATGGGTTATGAGTGCGGCGGAAGAGCAATTACTGAAGCTGAAAGCAAGCGGGATGCAGATGAAATGAAGCAAGCTTTCAGCTGCTGCAGAGAGAGCCATATGGGGGATCGGTTCCAGTAATTGCCCCTCCCCCCACTGCCTTGCTGATCACCCTCCCTGCCCACATCCCATTCATCCAGCTTCTTGGGCCCCCCGCTGGCCTGGGCCCCATACAGGAGGACTGGTGGTACCCCCTTATCCACGGCCCTGTCAACAGGAGCGATAGTTTTTGCATGGGAGTGAAGCAAGGCATTGCAACTGTAGCATGTAAACACTTCTATGTGCTGCCTTTGCAGCTTCAGGGGGGCATTAAAAACACAGATCAACCGTGCATTTTCAACCCCCCCCCCCCCGACTCTATACAAGCCCAAATGGTTCATGGGACCGAAGAAACACCAATTTTCAATCATAGTGATGTGAATGTTCCAAAGCGTAGGATGGAAAATATTTCTCAACCAAACAGAATGCTACATTTTATAACATTTGAAATTTGATTTCAAAATTTCCTTTGTGAATGTCTCAGCAAAGTCACAGATAATCCCCTGTAATGTTTGTAACCTGTAATGTCAGGTTTGTTTTTTTTGTTGCTTTTTGCAGGATTAATGTAACATTCCATACTAAGAGAAAATATCCATGAGAACATTTAACCAGAAGAGGAAAAGAACATTCGACCAATAGGGAAATTGCCTAAAGCTTACCATATGTTATGCACTTTTTGTATTCAATTTCCTTTAGATTTATCCCCAACTATGTAGTATAAGGGTCTGCCTGACTGCATACAAATTGAAAGTGTTTAGGTTTGACGTCATATTATATGCTTTTGGTAAATCTAAAGAAAAATTGTATAATGTATGGTCAGCCTAACACTATAGGCCGAGCACATTCAACCAGAAAAGGAAATGATATGATGGAGTTCCTTGCACTGTGTACAAGGTGAATGGAGATTCCTGTGCTCACCACTGACTGTATTGACTCAGTTAGGGCTCCTTCACACTTGACTTTATTTCTAACTTTTGCCAAATGCCCCTATAGTGTTTGACAGGCCTTTGGGAAGCGTTGTTTTAACGCTCTTCAAAGGCTCCCCAAACACCCTATGTGTGGTTTTGAGGAGGTTGATAGGCATTTGCCAAGCATTTAAACCGAACCACAAACGCATATAATGAAGATTAAATTATATTAACGCTCCACAACCACCTTGCAACCACACCGCAAACACCTGCCAGTGTTTGAGGAGGGGCACCATAGACTTGAATGGGAGACTTCAACTCCTCCTGACTCCACATGAGGCATCAGTTTTGCAGCAACGCTAACCTGTCAATGTGAACAGCACTGTGTGCTGCCATCTGCAGAATTTTCATAAGTATTTGAGAAGTGTTAAAAACGCTTCCCAAATGCCTGTCTGAGGCCTGCTGACAAAGCTAGTGTGAAGTGAACTGAGCCTAACTGCATATATAGAATAAATACAATGTTGCAGATAATTAACTCCATTGTTTATCTTACATGATCTGGGGTTTCAGTCCTGTAAACTTGTCAAACAAAGGAATTCCATCTGCAACATTTTATCAATTTTATATAGCACTTTACTCCTTTCCAATAGAACATTCATGTCTCAAGAAAGAGAATCGGTCACTGCTATGGCCCCCTATATCAGCTTTCTTAATATGGGGGGGCACTAGCGTGGCCCTTGTAATCACAAAAGGGCCGCACATAATATTTAGTGTCAGAGACAGCAGACATGATATAGGAGATGGTTGGAGACTACAATCATGATATAGGAGATGGTTGGAGACTACAATCATGATATAGGAGATGGTTAGGTACTGCAGACATGATATAGGAGATGGTTGGAGACTACAATCATGATATAGGAGATGGTTGGAGACTACAATCATGATATAGGAGATGGTTAGGTACTGCAGACATGATATAGGAGATGGTTGGAGACTACAATCATGATATAGGAGATGGTTGGAGACTACAATCATGATATAGGAGATGGTTGGAGACTACAATCATGATATAGGAGATGGTTGGAGACTACAATCATGATATAGGAGATGGTTAGGGACTGCAGACATGATATCGGACCCATTCCATGAAGCTCTCTACGCACTGTTGTTGTGCTAATCTGAAGGCCACACGAAGTTTGGAGATCTTTAGCTATTGACTCTGCAGACAGTTGGTGACTTCTCTGCAGTGTGCGCTTCAGCATGCGCTGATCCCGCTCTGCCATTTTTTACGTGGCCTACCACTACATGGCTGAGTTGCGGTTGTTCCAAGTTGCTTCCACTTTGTTATAATCCCACTAACAGTGGACCGTGGAATATTTAGTAGCCAGGAAATGTCACGGATGGACTTATTGCACAGGTGGCAACCTATCACGGGACCACGCTTGGAGTCACTGAGCTCCTGAGAGCGACCAATTCTTTCACCAATGTTTGTAGAAGCAGTCTGCATGCCTAGGTGCTTGATGTTATACACCTGTGACCATGGAGGTGATTGGAACACCTGAATCCAATGATTTGTAGGGGGGGGCCCAATACTTTTGGCAATACAGTGTGTATGTATGTATATATATATATATATATATATATATATATACACATACTATACTATATATATAGTAAAAAAAAAGTGAGGAAACCTATAAGACCCCTGGTATTATATATCACCGACAAACCGGGTAACATACTCTGTGTGATTCCCCAACAATTACCTTTGGTGTATTTCCTCACTAAGAATGTAGCTTTGTGCTGATATAAATGTGACATTAGTATGGGGAAGTAGTGTAACGATCGTTATTTTCCCAAAGGAGACGGTGATAGCGTTCCTTATTGAAAGCAATGGGCTGACATCATCGGTGGAGGTCAGGCACACGGCGGCACACGAAGCCCCTTTCTCATGTAAAGTAAGAATGCTAACGACAATACAGAGAAGAAACTGACCATAAGGGAATCCAAGATGGCCGCCGGACTTACTCGAGGCTCCGGCGTCGTGACGTCACACACCGTTACAGCTCCTTCCTGATGTGTTTCGTGCCAACGCACATACTCATAAGGGGTGTGCCTGTAACAGTTTCTTCTCTGTATTGTTATTTACCTAATGGAAGGAATAAATGCGTTTTTGAAGCAGTATCACGCTATTGGCATCTTTTCTTTGGGCTCTTTGTGAACTTACCAACCCACAGATTCATTTTTGATAAAGATCTGTCAAACACCTGTGTGGTAATGCCATCATTGTATCAAACCCACTTGTCAACATATTATTTATATTATTATTATGATAGGTACTTAAGTAGCACCGTCAATTTACACAGCACTTTACATATATATTGTACATTCACATCAGTCCCTAACCCTCAAGGGGCGTACAATCTAAAGCCCCTAACTCACATTCATACATACACATACTAGGGACAATTTAGACAGGAGCCAATTCACCTACCAGCATGTCTTTGGAGTCATTGTTAATGACATAAATGGTACATTTTTTGTCAATCAATCAATAAATCAATCACACGATCAGCGGAAATGATGCAATGATTTTTGACCTTTGTGAACCTTCCAACTCTCAAAGTATCTCTCTCTGCCCAGGCGACAATCAGTATCTAGTCCCACAATATACATGACAAACTTCCTTGTCCCTAGACATCCTTGTGTCTGGTCTTGCAATGCAGGGACAATGGTTTCAGGTTTTACTTTATATTGTCTTCTAATACACATTTTGGAGGGCACACTGGGTAACAACTGCAATAATTTCCCTCTATGACCAAGAGTGTTGTTGCTTTTTCTTCTGGGGTAACATTTTCACACGCACAAGCGCTGTACATTTTTCGAACTGTTTACGATAGATTCCACTACTAATGTTTAGAAAATCATGCAACAAATTTCCTTATGATGATTCGTATTTTTTTTAGTATAAAACTTTGCACTTTTGAGAATTGAAATGATCCCACTAACATTTCAAAAGTTGAGAAAACAAGCGTATTGAACATTTTTCTATCCAGCTTTAGGCCTCATGCACACTGGGCATAAAAAATGCTGCTTCTAAGGGCCTTTGGTGGGGGTTTTTTCTGCTTCTTAAAGCCCCTCAATGTCCATGCAACCATAGGCATTTAGCAGCAGAAGTGTTTAAAGGCAGAAACAAAAAACATCACTTATGCATTCAGGAAAGGAGTGTTTGGGCAGAAACATGGTCAACTTGCCTCAGCACTTTTAAACAAGTGTAAACATTTCGCACTAGAGCAGGGGCGTCAAACTGGCAGCCCTCCAGCTGTTGCGAAACTACAAGTCCCATCATGCCTCTGCCTTTGGGAGTCATGTTTGTAACTGTCAATCTTGCAATGCCTCATGGGACTTGTAGTATGACAACCGCTGGAGGGCCACCAGTTTGACACTGGTACACTAGAGCATTCATTATTGTTATTATTATTATACAGGATTTATATGGTGCCAACAGTTTGCTCAGCGCTTTACAATATAACGGGAGACATACAGCAACGATACAGTTCAATACAAGAGGGATAGGAGGGCCTGATCCTTGGAGCTTACAATCTAGGTGATTTATTTTAATTAATGAGTATTCTGGTTAATTAAATGAATGAACGGCTTATTAAATGAATGAAATGCTTGACGTGTCTGAACATGCCTAAACGTGCTTAAACATGGTTGAAAAACATGGCTTTGGGCCAGTAGAAAGTCATTTAGAAGAGCTGGGTATGAGGCCTTATCCTGGCCATACACTAGTAGATTTTCTACATTTCTCTGAAAATTCCCTGTACATTTGATGACTTGATGAATGTCATTCGAATGCACTTTAAAATGTCACTAATCCAAAGCCAGCAAGACGGGCTCCTGATCATTGGATGTGTAGGTACTATATTGCCAAAAGTATTGGGCACCCCTCAAAATCATTGGATTCAGGTGTTCCAATCCCCTCCATGGTCACAGGTGTATAAAATCATCACCTAGGCATGCAGACTGCTTCTACAAACATTTGTGAAAGAATGGGTCGCTCTCAGGAGCTCAGTGACTCCAAGCGTGGTACCGTGATAGGTTAAATAATAATAAAAATGGTGTAGTGTCGAAGCTAAATGTGCAAATAACACAAAAAAAAATATCTGAAAAAAGTACATAAATACATATATGATATATAAATAAATGCATGATAGATCCTGCAAGATCTAAAAATAAGTGTCTCAAACCGTGATTATATCAATACATAAAGTGCGTAAAATGAAGCTGGTCCTGTACAGGGACCCTCATAAAGTGACAAAAACCAATCCCATAGGGACCAAACCCCCAAACTCTAGGTGGTATAAAAGATGAATCCCAAAAGTGGGATATATATCAAATAAAGTGACTGGTGTAAAATACCCAAATGCAATAAATAATCATAAATGCACATGAAACAATAGCAAAAAATGTGTCCACAAAGAAAGCAGAAAATTGCAAAAATTGCAATATATGTAAAAAAGTGCCTTTAACATCACAAAAGTGCTTCAGCGCTGGAGCAGATGTGAGCATATATCCTTAGATGGCAGGCATGCTCCCTCACCTCCTTGATGCGACCCAAACGGGCCAAACCGCCTTTTAGATCACCCTGGATCCTACAGGTAACAACTCTCCAGGCCACTCTGGTTCCACTAATCCTCACTGGTAACCTTCTCCCAGTAATTGATCACTCTTCCATACATGGATAAACGCAGTGCAGGCCAATAAATGAGCACCACATTAAAGCCATGAAAGGACAAAAAACAGGTCCCCCATAGTACAACACTGTTTATTGTATTGGAAACATGAAAAATCGGCAAGTAATACACTCACATTAATGTAGATCAAGGCAGGCTGTCACACCACTAAGTATGGGTGTACTGTGTAACCTGGTGTATCAAGATGGCGCTCCACCAGAAGTGCGCCACCACGTTTGGGGGTTTGGTCCCTATGGGATTGGTTTTTGTCACTTTATGAGGGTCCCTGTACAGAACCAGCCCCATCATACGCACTTTATGTATTGATATTATCACGGTTTGAGACACTTATTTTTAGATCTTGCAGGATCTATCACACATTTATTTATATATCATATATGTATTTATGTACTTTTTTCATATATTATTTATTGTGTTATTTGCACATTTAGCTTCGGCGCTACACCATTTTTATTATTATTTTTTCACTTGTCCACATATAGGTAGAGGATAGGGTGTTAGCTGCATATTGATTTAGGTTTCCATATTAGCACAGGGGGATCTTTGTCATCATACCATGATAGGTGGCCACCTGTGTAATAAGTCCATCCGTGACATTTCCTGGCTACTAAATATTCCACGCTCAACTGTTAGTGGTATTATAACAAAGTGGAAGAAACTGGTAACAGCAACAACTCAGCCATGACCTAGTAGGCCAGGTAAAATGACAGAGGAGGGTCAGGGCATTTTTTCTGAAAAGGTGGAATAACACTTTAACCCCCTGCCTACTAATTCCCTTGGACACCACATACCATTAATAGGTGGGTGTGGAATCTGAATGGGACCTTATCATGTCAATAGCTGAGCACATGTCACACCCTTGGCTCCAACATTGTGATGGGCACTTGCATAAGAAAGAAAGCTTCATCTCCATCTACCACAAGAACTTTCCATTGTCCATTGTCTTGCTTACCTACATCTCTCTCCTCTGATAGTAACACTAAACCCACAACAATATAACCCCCTGTAAAGCTGGCCATACAAGAGCAGAATTTTGTTCAAAAACTTTCATGCTTGGAACAACTGCGTAAATTTCGAAGGCTTGCATCTAAACCGCCCTACCTCTGCGCTCACTTTTTAGAGAGTTTTGACAAGCAGTGAGGAGGCAAGGTAACGCCTCATCAGCGCCTGTTTTAACCCCATAATTGTTTCATCAACTTCCCACAATAAATAATTAACATCAACTTCCCACAATAAATAATTAGCATCAACTTTCCACAATTAAAATATTAACATCAACTTCCCACAATGCATGTGGTGGCAGGGCATTTGCGGTGCTTTCCCATTCACCTGAGTGGGTCGCTTTTGGTGGGCTTACTGCCCACTGAATGCAACAGGCAGGGCTGCTGTTAGAAACCAGAGGACCCCATACAGCCAACCTGACAGGGCCCCCAAATAAGCACAGTTTACTACGCTTCAGTTATTAACGTGCATAGTAAGTGATCAGTCAGTAATGATTACTCATTGTGTTCATTCAGAAAAAGGAAGGGACTGGTAAATGTGACATATTTATTTGACTCTTCCCCCACTCTCTATCCTGAAGGATCCTATTGTGTACTGGCAGGTGCCAGTGGGAAGGAGAGGAAGGAAGCCAGCAGCACTTTGGGGATAGGGGACACACAGGGGGAAATGTATGGTGCACAGGGAGGGTGATGGGTTATGAGTGCGGCTGAAGAGCAATTACTGAAGCTGAAAGCCAGCGGGATGCAGAGGAAATGAAGCAAGCTTTCAGCTGCTGCAGAGAGAGCCATACGGGGGATCGGTTCCAGTAATTGCCCCTCCCCCCCCCACTGCCTTGCTGATCACCCTCTCTGCCCACATCCCATTCATCCAGCTTCCTGGGCCCCCCGCTGGCCTGGGCCCCATACAGGAGGACCAGTGATACCCCCTTATCCACAGCCCTATCAACAGAAGCGATAGTTTTTGGCATGGGAGTGAAGCAAGGCATTGCAACTGCAGCATGTAAACACTCCTATGTGCTGCCTTTGCAGAATTCTAAATTTTATACATTTTATAACATTTGAAATTTGAATTAAAAAAATCCTTTGCAAATGTCTCAGCAAAGTCACAGATAATCCCCTGTAATGTTTGTAATATGTGTAATGTCAGATTTGTTTTTTTTGCTTTTTTGCAGGATTAATGTAACATTCCATAACATTCCATCCTAAGAGAAAATAGCCGTGAGAACATTTAACCAGAAGAGGAAAAGAACATTCGACCAATAAGGAAATTGCCTAAAGCTTACCATATGTTATGCACTTTTTGTATTCAATTTCCTTTAGATTTATCCCCAACTATGTAGTGTAAGGGTCTGCCTGACTGCATACAAATTGAAAGTGTTTCGGTTTGACGTCATATTATATGCTTTTGGTAAATCTAAAGGAAAATTGTATAATGTATGGCCAGCCTAACACTATAGGCCGAGCACATTCAACCAGAAAAGGAAATGATATGAGGGAGTTCCTTGCTCTGTGTACAAAGTAAATGGAGATTCCTGTGCTCACCACTGACTGTATTGACTCAGTTAGGGCTCGTTCACACTTGACTCTATTTCTAACTCTTGCCAAACGCCCCTATAGCGTTTGGCAGGCATTTGGGAAGCGTTTTTTTTACGCTCCCCAAACGCCCTATGTGAGGTTTTCAGGCGGTTGATAGGCGTTTGCCAAAAGTTAAAACCGCACCACAAATGCCTATAATGAAGTTAAATGGTATTAATGCTCCGCAAACGCCTCGCAACCACACAGCAAACACCTGCCAGGCATTTGCGGAGAGGCACCATAGACTTGAATGGGAGGCTTCAACTCCTCCTGACTGGACACGAGGTGGCAGTTTTGCTGCAACACTAACTCGTCCGTGTGAACAGCACTGTGTGCTGCCATGTGCAGAATTTTCATAGGCGTTTGAGAAGTGTTAAAAATGCTTCCCAAACGCCTGCCGCCTGCTGACAAAGCTAGTGTGAACCAGGGGCAGACTGACAACTCATGGGGCCCCCGGGCAAAAGGGGATCATGGGGCCCCTGTGTCCTTGCCAAAACTCAAAAAAGCCAATGATAAAGGTACCAGGGGCATCTCATGGGGCCCCCTACTGACCCCGGGCCCTCGGGCAGTGCCTGAGTTTCCATATAGTCAGTCCGCCCCTGGTGTGAACTGAGACTAACTGCATATACAGAATAAATACAATGTTGCAGATAATTAACTCCATTGTTTATCTTACATGATCTGGGGTTTCAGTCCTGTAATCTTGTCAAACAAAGGAATTCCATCTGCAACATTGTATCAATTTTATATAGCAGTTCACTCCTTTCCAATAGACCCTTCATGTCTCAAGAAAGAGAATCTGTCACTGCTATGGCCCCCTATGTCAGCTTTCTTAATATGGGGGGCACTAGTGTGGCCCTTGAAATCACCAAAGGGCCGCACATAATATTTAGTGTCAGAGACAGCAGACATGATATAGGAGATGGTTAGGGATTGCAGACATCATATAGGAGATGGTTACGGACTGCAGACATGATATAGGAGATGGTTAGGGACTGCAGACATGATATAGGAGATGGTTAGGGACTGCAGACATGATATAGGAGATGGTTAGGGACTGCAGACATGATATAGGAGATGGTTAGGGACTGCAGACATGATATAGGAGATGGTCAGGGACTGCAGACATGATATAGGAGATGGTCAGGGACTGCAGACATGATATAGGAGATGGTGAGAGACTGCAGACATGATATAGGAGATGGTGAGAGACTGCAGACATGATATAGGAGATGGTCAGGGACTGCAGACATGATACAGGAGATGGTCAGGGACTGCAGACATGATACAGGAGATGGTCAGGGACTGCAGACATGATACAGGAGATGGTTAGAGACTACAATCATGATACAGGAGATGGTCAGAGACTACAATCATGATACAGGAGATGGTCAGAGACTGCAGACATGATATAGGAGATGGTCAGGGACTGCAAACATGATATAGGACCCATTCCATGAAGCTCTCTACGCACTGTTGTCACACCAAGTTTGGAGGTCTTTAGCTATTGACTCTGCAGACAGTTGGCAACTTCTCCGCACCGTGCGCTTCAGCATGCGCTGACCCCGCTCTGTCATGTGACGTGGCCTACCACTTGGTGGCTGAGTTGCTGTTGTTCCCAGTTGCTTCCACTTTGTTATAATCCCACTAACAGTTGAGTGTGGAATATTTAGTAGCCAGGAAATGTCACGGATGGACTTATTGCACAGGTGACAACCTATCACGGGACCACACTTGGAGTCACTGAGCTCCTGAGAGCGACCCATTCTTTCACCAATGTTTTGTAGAAGCAGTCTGCATGCCTAGGTGATGATTTTATACACCTGTGACTATGGAGGGGATTGGAACATCTGAATCCAATGATTTGGAGGGTTGGCACCAGGGGTGGACTGACTATTTGGAAACTTGGGCACTGCCCGAGGGCCCGGGGTCTGTAGGGGGCCCCATGAGATGCTTCTGGTACCTTTTTCATAGGCTTTTTTGAGTTTGGGCAAGGACACAGGGGCCCCATGTTCCCCTATTGCCCCGGGGGCCCCATGAGTTGTCAGTCTGCCCCTGGTTGGCCCAAACTATTGGAAATATAGTGTGTGTATAGCTAGATATAGATATATGTTAAAAAAAGAATGCGGAAACTTTTTAGATCCCGGTATTATATATTACCAACAAACCGGGTACATACTGTGTGTGATTCCCCGACAATTACCTTTGGTGTATTTATTGACTAAGAATGTAGCTTTGCGCTGATATAATGTGACATTAGTATGGGAAGTAGTGTAACGATCGGTATTTTCCCAAGGGAGACGGTGATAGCGTCCCTTATTGTAAGCAATGGGCCGACATCATCGGCGGAGGTCAGGCACACTCCGGCACACGGAGCCCCGTTCTCATGTAAAGTAAGAACGCTGGCTCCGCCCTCCTAGATTTAGCTCTGCCCAATCTTGCAGCTAGCTCCCCCCACGCATATAAAAGGCGAGTTAGCTCTGCCCAATCATAAAAAAGAAAACGTCTAGTTCCGCCTACTCGTACAAAATGATCGCCCACTGGGCGTGTCCTCCTCCGTCGCGATGAATGGGCCTCTCTGGCAGCGCAGGGAAAGCATTGGCAGAAAAAGGGGGCGTGTACGGCTCCAGGACGTGCTCAGTAGGCGTGGAAGCCAGTGGGCCGCCGGAGAGTTCTATGTATCTGCAATCCACAAAAAAAGAGGGCGGGTCCGGTCGCCAGGTCGAGGCACCGCCCGGCAGGCGTGGTCACCCGCGGGCAGCCAGAGAGGTCTATGTATTCGGCTCAAACAGGCGCACTTTCCAGACGTTCGACAGGGGGGGTCACGTGAGACAACACGCTTCCGGCTCAGGTTCCTACGGCACTTCCGGTGATTGTGACGCATTGGGGTCTCGGCTGCCGTGACGCTCGGCTCTGTGGGCTGGTGCCATGGCGGAGTGCCGAGCGCCGAACGCTCGCTGGTTCTTCACCCGGGAGCAGCTGGAGAACAGCCCGTCCAGGCGCTGCGGGATGGAGGCGGACAAGGAGCTCTCCTACCGGCAACAGGCGGCCAACCTCATCCAGGACATGGGCCAGCGCCTCAACGTGTATCCTTTTTTACCTCATAACTGCGGCCTAGTGCCGGCCGGGAAGCCTGCGGCCTGCGTTCCTCGCTATTCGCAGGTCTGAGGGGAGGAAGGTAGGCCGGTGATCGGTGTACAGGTGCGGGATGGTGTGCGGGGGTAGGGGAGGCCGGTTTCCGGGGGAGGGGAGGCCGCTATACCGGCGCCGGGAGGCTCAATGATTGGATGTAACGTCCATAGGGGACCCGGGGAGGTCTATATCCCAGGGAGGCCGTGTGTGCGCCGGGGCCCGGGCCTCCTTTGATACTCCCGCGGGGGCCCGTTGTGGGACCCCTCTGATACTCTCTCCCCGCAGGGGCCCCTTCCTGCCATTGTGGGCCCCCATGGACTCCTCTGATACCCTCTCCCCGCGGGGGCCCCTTCCTGCCACTGTGGGCTCCCAGGCACTCCTCCGACACCCTCTCCCCGCGGAGGACCCTTCCTGCCATTGTGGGCTCCCAGGGATTCCTCCGACACCCTCTCCCCGCCGAGGACCCTTCCTGCCATTGTGGGCCCCCAGGGATTCCTCCGACACCCTCTCCCCGCCGAGGACCCTTCCTGCCATTGTGGGCTCCCAGGGATTCCTCCGACACCCTCTCCCCGCCGAGGACCCTTCCTGCCATTGTGGGCCCCCAGGGATTCCTCCGACACCCTCTCCCCGTGGGGGCCCCTTCCTGCCATTGTGGGCCCCAGGGACTCCTCCGATACCCTCTCCCCGCGGGTGCCCCTTCCTGCCATTGTGGGCCCCCAGGGACTCCTGTGATACCCTTTCCCCACTGCCATCAGGGACTCCTCGATGGCAGTCTATACATCCCCAGCTACAATGTCTTCTCCTCTATATTGTGTCATGTACTGTAGTGATAGACCTTGCCTTGTGTGGGTTGCTTTTCAGTGGGTGGCTGTCATTTTCTCATTTTTTTTGTTTTTTGCAAAACTACACGATTGCGGTCTGTTTGATTTGATGGGTCGGGTTTTCACGCGCACTTTTTGATGTAGGCTATCTTCACATTTGCGCGGACGCGACAACCCATTCACCTGAACAGGCTCCCGTGAAAGAAAAAAAAATAGTTGTCCCTTCATTGGTTTGGAAATTGTATCCTGCAGGTAACTGAGGTTCCTGTTGGGGGCGGCGTGGCGTTCGGATTAATGGCTTTCACGATTCGCCGTGCGGGCGGTTGCAGCTTCAGGAATTTACGTGGTTCCTGCAGCGCCGCTACCTGCACAGGTGTGAACTGAGCCGTGGCATCCATGTAGCGGCCTCCTATACCAGGTAAGGTCCGTACGGTGGTGTGGGGCTCCGCCAGTCATTTCTGCCGCAGTATGTGTACGCCAGAGAGGTCTATGTATTCAGCTCAAACAGGCGCACTCTCCGGCCACCATGTTGGGTTGGAGCGGTATTGAGGCTTGGTTCACACCTGTGTGCGCGCTTTTCTTGTCTTTTGCTGCATTTTTTACGTGTTTTTAGTTGTTCAACACAAACCCTTACCAGTAACGTACCAAATATACACGTGTGCGTTTTGTATGTAATTTCCATGATCTGTTGAAGTTTATAGACTGAAAACGCACTTGATTCTCTATTTTTCCCTTTTTCTCGCCTCTTTTCATCCAATCCCATTGTCTACTAATTAGTAAATTTAAGATTTTTGATTGTATCTAAAATTCTCATGCGCTTTTGAAAGCTATTGTCGAAGAAAACTAGTTTCTAAAAGATATCGAATTAAGGCTGACCATACACTATACAATTTTCTTGAGATTTTTGTTTAGATTTACCAAAAAAAGGTATAATAGGAGGTCAAACCTAAACAACACTTTCAGTTGTATCCAATTAGGCTGGCCATACACTATACAATTTTCTGTTCAATTTCTGCCCAATTTCCTTCAGATTTACCTTCAACTATGTAGTGCAAGGGTCTACCTAATTGGATACAACTGAAAGTGTTGTTAGGTTTGACCTCCTATTATGTTTTTTGGTAAATCTAAACAAAAATCTCAAGAAAATTGTATAATGTATGGCCAGCCTAAAAGCAGCAGTTTATTGTATTGCTGTTTACCAGTTCTTAGATGCGATGGCTGCATTAGGTTTTTTTTTTGTCCTTTTCATCTGGTGATCTGGCCAGTATGTTTGTTCAACAAAACAAGCTCTCCTGCAGATGTAGCAATTTACAGGGATGGGGCAAACCGTTTACCACTAACAGGGGTGCTTACAATGGTCAACTCTCCTGCAGATGTATCAGTTTACAGGGATGAAACAAACCATTGGCCACTGGCAGGGGTGCTTTTGATCCACTTTTATTTAACTATGTAAAATCTTTATTGGAAAAAATGATGAAAATAACTGCTATAACGGCTTCTAAAGTGTTAGCTGGAGCGTAGCTAATTCAGGTATGAATGGTTGCTGTTTAATTGAATTCATCTTCTGGCCAAGACACCCAGAATGATTTTAGTGTCCACTCTCCTTTAAAGTGCTTCTAAAGGCAGAAAGTTTTATTTTTACCTTAATGCATTCTAAATCTGCTAGTACATCACTGTCCCCCCTCCAGACTATCAATGCTGCTGTCCAGAGGTGGCCCCTGTGCTCCTTCATCCAGAGTGGGGGCATTCTAGTACAGGAGGTGTCTTACTGGCCAGATCACCAGGTGAAAACGGTGGGAAAACCCTAAAAAGACAAAAATCAATGCAGACTTAACATCTAATGATTGGTAAGCTGCAATATATAAACATTTTTGTATGTAGGTTTAATACCGCTTAAAGCTTGCTTCACACTTGTGAGCGTTCCTTTCGCAGTCTTTTTGCTGTTTTTGTGTGGGGTTTTTTTTTTTTGTAGGACACAAAAATCTTACCAAAAACCCCTCTACAGGCATTATTCATGCAGGTTTGATGCATTTTAAAGTCTAAAGACCCAAAAATGTACCCACTTGTGATTGTTGAGCATTTGTGTGCTTCTGAAAATTCCTATTGCCGCTTACCAGTAGTTAGGTGGGATGGATGCTTTAGTTTTCTTTTTTAGACTGTTTCCATCTGGTGGTCTGGCCAGTAAGTCTGTTGTTTTTTAAAAGAACAAGCTGTCCTGCAGATGTGGCAGTTAAGTGTTGAGCAGTTTACCACTGGCAGTGGTGTGCATGATCAGTTTTTATTCATTTATCTTTAAAAGCGGGAAAAAACGGTTTGTTGTAACTGATTATAAAGTGTGAGATGGAGTTTGGCTTTATCTTTAGTGTATCTAAATCTGCTAGTCCATCTAACATTCCCCTCCCCACAGACTGACAATGCTGCTGTGCAAAGGTGTCCCCTGTGCTCCTTCATCCAGAGTGGGGGTGCTCTAATACAGGAGGTGTTACTGGCTAGATCAGGTGAAAACGGGAAAAAAAACAAATGCAGCCACCACATCAAGTGGTTGGTAAGCTGCAATATTATTACATTGTAGGTTTGATATCACATAAAGCTAGATTGACTCCTGTGAGTGTGCCTAGCATATGTCTTTCGGTGTGGCGTTTGTGTGTTTTTGGGTGTCTTAATGCTGTTTTTGTAGGACACTGGTTGTTAGACACAAAAGCCCTACAAAATGCACCAAAATGCTTCTACATGCAATTTTGATCCTCTTCCATTAAAGTCTATAAACCCAAAAACACACCTTCCTGCCATTGTATTGCTGTGCTTCTGAAAATGCACTAAAAAACGCACAGGTGTGAATCTAGCCGAAACCCAAAAGCAAACATATATTATATTACAGATTACCAATTCTTAGATTTGATGACTGCATTTGTTTTACTTTTTGGGCTTTTTTCCCTTTTTTTTTTTCTCCATCTAGTGATCTGTCCTGTAAGTCTGTTTTTTTCTAAGAACAAATTCTCTTGCAGATTGTATTGGTTTACAGAGTTGAAACAAACCATTTATCCCTGACAGGGGTGCATACAATGGTCAGCTTTTATTTATTTAAAACCTTTTTCACAAAAGGAAAAAACTAAGGCTGCTTCCACTCCTCCCTTGTAAGAATCTATATATGTTCTAGTCACGTTTTTGATGTGTCTTCAGTGTGTTTTTTTGGGTGCCATTAACCAGCATCTGCCTGTGAAACCTGGACATGTGACTTGCACACCAAAAATGCAGCTGTGATTGGTTTTTGATGTGTTTTTGACGTGTTTTCTATTCATTTCAATGGGGGCCTGTGTTTTTGGTGCGGTTTGAAAACCACACCAAAGATGAAGCATGCAGGACTTTTCAAAGCTGTGTGAAAGCAGCCGAACTGATTGAGGTATTAGCTCAAGTTTGACTTCAATTTGTTCGATTTTCTGAATCTGCTAGTCCATCTAACTCTCCCCTCCCTCCTGACTGACAATTGTGCTGTCCAAAGGTGCCCCCTGTACTCCTTCATCCAGAGTGGTGGCGCTCTAATACACTAGGAATGTTACCGGTCAGATCACTCAGTGAAAACAGAGAAAAAAGACCTCAGCCACCACATCTAATGATTAAGTTGCAATATTTTATTTATTATAGGTACTTATATAGCGCCATCAATTTACGCAGCACTTTACATATATATTGTACATTCACATCAGTCCCTAACCCTCAAGGGGTGTACAATCTAAGGTCCCTAACTCACATTCATACATACACATACTAGGGCCAATTTAGACAGGAGCCAATTAACCTACCAGCATGTCTTTGGAGTGTGGGAGGAAACCGGAGTACCCAATATAATATAATATACAATAAAATATATATATAATATAATAAAATATACATTTTTGGGGTTTATTCCCACTATAAGGGGGAGTGGTAAATGGTCGCTCAACCACCCTCGAAGCCCCCATTCACTATGTAGTGCAACATCAGGCGTAAGGCACGTGCATTTTTCCCCCCAAGTGATAACACGAGGCAGTTCATTCATTACAGTGGTTGGTTCTACATGCCTCAGATTTGGGCGTTCTAAAAATGTTCAAAAAGCTTTAAATTGTAGGTGTCTATCCCAAATTGTTTTTCTTAGGTTTGACTAGAGTAAGCAAGGGTCTGTTCATTTTTTCTGTGGGTATGATTTCCTCACTTCCTGTCTCGGAGACACAACAGGAAGTGAGAGGAAATGTACCATGTTATGTAGGGAATTTCCCTTTAATTCTCACCACATAATGTGTACAGACTCCTTTAGGCTTGGTTCACATCTGTGTGGATGATTGCTGCTGTGGGACTGAGCAGCTGCGACTACCCACACAGAAAACGCAGCAAATGTGCACAGGGACTGTTAATCCTAATGGCCCTCCACACGCACTGCAACTGCACTGAATTTGTGGTTCCCGTGTGGGCTGTGATTTCTGAAATGATGCAGGGACCTTTTCCTGTGTTTTTTTGGAGGTACGGTAACCCATTCAATAATGGGCTGCTCCGCCTGCACAAATCTCCTCTCGTAGTGCTGCGATAGTATGAACCTAGGCTTAGATCTACCATCAGCTATGTAGCACAAGGGTCTGTCTGGATACAAGCTGATTGGATGGATTAGATAGGTCCTTAGAATAAATAATTTTGGTAAATCTAAAGTTGATTGTATGGTCCTATTGTAACATGTATGGTGACCCCTAGGCAGAATTACCTCTACCTTTTCCTTGCCATTGTGGGCACTACAGGACTCCAAAATGACATTCTGCTTACCCTGGGCTGCAATCTTCTCTATACTAGTAGAGATCATGTACAATTTACAGTGGAGTTTGCAAAATACATCATACACTCAATGCACAAAGCCTAATGATGTATGTATAGACATTTTTTTGTGTAGAGTAAAAAAGGGTTGCAAGCCATGCCAGTTCATTTTTCCCACTGTGGGTATTCTGTAATTGTACTTCCTGTTCCAGAGACACAACGGGAAAGTAAGGGGAAATGAGGGTCATTTCCTTCTAGTCTCATTCACACTGGCACTCCTTGGTTTAGATATGTTCTGAATGCAGGAGAAATTACCTGGGAAGTTTAAACAGTATTTAGTCTAGGTTCACACTTGTGCGTTTTCCTCTGCGTTTTGCAGAAATGCATAGCAGTCCATTGAACATGATTTCCTATGGGACAGGATCACATGTTTGCGTTTTCACCCGATGCAGTTTTTGGAAAAGGTCAGAGACTTTTTTTTTTTTAAAAATGCAAAACATTGCGTTTTTGGTTCAATAGACTTCAATGGAGACGCTGCAGAAATGCACATAGTGCGTTTTTGATGCGTTTTGCGGTTTAATCTGCCCAGCAGACTTAGGTGTCACCCCCCCCCCCCCCCCCCCCCCCCACCCATTTCATCCTCTATGCATTTGGCTGCTGCTGGAGTGCTGTATGAAGAGGAAGACAGGAGAATAGATGCAGCTGTGCACAGCGCTGGATCTCCTCGCCCCTCTCTTCCCCTTCACACAGGGAGAGAGAAATAGAAAACGTTTTTTATCTTAATGCAAGGACTGCATTAAGGTAAAACACGTTTTTTAGCTTTAGTATCACTTTAAAGTGTTGGTTCACTTTTACCAGAAACCTGCCTATGCATATAAGGGGTGTCTGTGGATAATAAAACTGTTTCTGACGAACGTTAAATAATACCTTTGCTATAGGTGTAGGCCATTTTGCTCTTGGACAGGGGTCTCCAAACTTTTTGCCTTTTTCCTGGAAGGGTTATTTTTTAAATTGTATCCAAATGTTATTTTTAATAGAGAATGATTAAACACCTGTCATTTTTTTGGATTGTGTCCCTGAGGGAAATCTTCTTACTCTCTGTCCTGTACACGCAACAGGAAGTGAAAGGAAATCTTTACAAAGTCAGGGGAGTTCCTTGTTCTCAGCAGAGCAAATGTCCCATTGAAATATTTCCCTTATCTTGTTTCATTGTCAACTTTAACATTTTGGATTCTGATTATACAGCAGGTATGGTTTTTCACGCATTGAGGCCTCATTCGAAATTTATGAGCTGCTTCAGTATATCTTAGCGCTTAAATTCTCATTGTCATGTGAACAAGCGCTAAATTAGACAGCTGTACACTTTTACCATTCTGATTTAACAGAAATCTAGATAGAAAACTTTCTGGAGGGTTCAATTTGCTGAAACTTCATCTCTGTTCCATGAGCAAGTGATCAGAAATAGGATAACTATTCATATATGGAATTATTTGCAATCCTCAAATATTTTGAGGATATATTCTGAGGATTTTACACATTATAGATATGCTCAGTAGGGAGCAGTGTGGAATAGGGTGTCGGGTTGTCAGTCATTGAGCATTAAAAATGTTTTTAAAGCAGAACTATACTCGCCTTGAATCCAGCGATGCGCCTTCCACAGAACTTACCACTGGCTACTGACATGTTCGGGCAGCTGGCTTCAAGGTCTCAGTCACCTACTGCTGTCATTGGCCCGGCCGGGATGACTTCACTCCTGCGCATGCACTGGAGGTCCGTCCGATTCGGCATTGCCGAATTTTTGTAGTGAACTGCGCTTGTGCTGCTTACTGTACAGGGGCGGACAGGCAGGTAAGTAGCTTTAATGCAGAAGAGACAAAGCACATCTCTTCTGCATTGCAAATCCTGCCGGTCCTCCCATTTTGGCTTTGGAGCCAAAAGTTCCACTTTAAGATCCTATGAAATGGTTGGTGTTATTGTAAATTGTGTATTATATAATTTAAGTTTTTGGTGATTTTATTTGGTTAATTTATTACATATATACACATAGGACTGAGCACAACACTGACATAAACATACATTTGTTAGATTTGTAAAATTGTAAATTTTATGGGTTGATGGCACACTTGTGCTCATGTGAGTTTAAAACACTTAACTTTGATGGATTTGAAACATGACTCACTACAGGAAACTCCCTATATTTGCACTAGTAAAATGCAGTTGTAAGTGTATGGCATGCTTTTGTTATTCATCTGTATTTCCAAACTGGTTCCTGCTTTCCTTAACCTGAACCCTACAGATCCCAGCTGACCATCAACACTGCCATTGTTTACATGCACAGATTCTATATGCATCATTCTTTTACCAAATACCACAGACACGTAAGTATTTATCTTCTTTTCCTATGCTAATAAGAGGCTGCTACCATTTTGTTGAAAAGTTGTGTGAGGGTTTAATTATGTAGTTAACTTTTCTAGAGGTTAAACACAGGCTGCCAGGTTTCTGGGGATCAGTCACGTGTGTATTCATTTCTAATCATTTATAGCTGGGTTGTAGTTTGGTGAACCTCATCTGTTTATTAAGAGTGAGGAATTGTTGGATATAGCAGGCTGTTTTCTGTTTTAATTAATACTTAAATGTATTTTTTAATGCTAGCAGTGTAAGTGCTTTTCTTTGGCTTAGTATCAGCTTGTACAGCAAAGCTTGGGCTGAGGAAGGAAAAAGCAGTAAAATGAGCCAATCAGTTATGCTTTGGTGCAAGGAGCATTCTAAGGTCTCATTCACACCATACGTGAAGAAAAACTGATGGAAACTGATGCGTAGATTTCACTTGCAGAGACCTCTGTTTACATCAGTTTTCATTTGGGCTTCAGTGAGTTTTCTACACATTGCTGGATTCTACACAGAAAAAAATCTGCACGTGATACTAGAGTTGTGGTGTGAACAGGGCACTTGGAGAGCAATTGATTTTGTTGTGCCCTTGCTGAACGCGTGCAGAAAAACTGACGTCTCTGCACACTGGTGCGAATGAGACCGAAAAGGAGAGAGCCGAATGAGAGAGATTAGCTCATTAGTGTACTGCTGCTCTTTTTACTGTCCTCTCAATGGTTCTGGGGGGCATGAGGCAAGACCTGTAACTGTTAGCATCACAGCGTAGTCTATTCTTTAGCTATGCTGGGAACTCGGCCTGCTCCCCTCCAATGGTCAGACTAGTCCTTACTAGAGTAGATGGCCATTAGAAGATTTATCTTAAAGTATGAGTACACCTTTTGACCAGAAATAATAAATGCACATTTTTATTACCTGTAAATATAAGGGATGTATGGGCGAGACAGGAAGTCTCCATGAACTGCCACAGCGCCGTGGTAGTTCGAGAACTTCAAGTCAACAGCTGCTAAGGCTGTCGGGACTTGTAATTCATTCATTCACGGAACACTGTGAATAAATGAAGTGGCCGTGTGGGCGGAGCCATGCACGGCTGCGCTATTTTTAAAAAGTGACGGCTAGTACTGGGGAGCTTCTCCGCGTTCTTCTGTCACAAAGTGGGGGGATCAGGCAGTGACTGCAGCATAGGGAACAGGTTACATGTTCCACCCTGAAAATGGGTGGAACAATTAACATGTTCCCAAAGATGAATTTATCCTTGAATCTTCTGTACCATTAACAGTAGATTTTGGGTTTCTTGTGTGTTCTGTGTGACGGTGTGCACACCAGACAGAACAGGTGAGTTTTTCAGGGTGACTTGACCTGTAATAAAACATGACACAGGTTTTAATCTTTTCTTACTTTAGTCTAAAAGAACGTTTGGCTTTTGAAATCTTGATGGATTTTTATGCCCCAGCTGTTACATGTTGGCCGGGAAATATTTGATATGAAGATTTAAAATTTTTGGGCAAATACCTCCCTGAAGTGAAATGGTTTCCTAAGCACCCATGACTTGCTTCAGAGGGCCCGGCTCCTTAGAGCGTCCGATCTAGGAGGGAGGGTCAAGAGATACAAAAGGAAATACATTTTAGTCTTTTATAAGAGCGTTTTAAAAATGTATACATTTTTAAAAACTGTCCATTTTGTTTTTCGGCCAAGTGCATGCTGAATTTCGGTTCCGGCACCAGAATTTTCCTCTCGGTGCTTCACTATTTTTTGTGAACTAGTTTGTTTTGCACAGGCAAGTTGCATGTACCAGTTTCTCTTGCATTGTGTACTTCCTTTATCTTTTTTTTTTTTTTTTTTTTTCGCAAGTCAGATTATACATCTATTGGCTGGCAGTGGTGCAATGCTGACAGCTCTAAACTCTAACCACTTTAGACTTGAGGCCAAGAGAGCATAGCCTGGCAGTTTGAAGCAATGATTTAAATGTTTGCTGTTTTTCTGTGTCATAAATGTTGGCTTAGTGCCACCAAAAAGGCTACCATGGCTTTGTAAGGAATTGGTGTGATTGTAAACTAACAGTAGCTGACATAATAGTGTTCTCTGAGCATTATTGAGGTCACCCAGAGTAGATGTGCTTCCCAGCCCTATTTGACTTTCGTAATCTTTATACGAAGAAGAATTAAAAAATTACAATCCAGTTTTTTGTGTTGACTATTAAGGTAGAAAAAACTCCGCACTGGTTCAGAAGAAGCAGGGGGAGCCATTTGTTCCCACTGTTGTCAATCACAGCCAGTGAGGAGGAGGCAGGGCTGAATCACAGTGTGTGTCAGTGGACACCTGAGTGAATGCTCCCATAACAAGCAGCTTGCTATGGATGCACTCGGCAGGGGGGAGGAGCATCATCCAGGGACCCGTGAAAAGGAGGTCAAGGCTGCTCTGTGCAAAAATTAACATAGTGCAGGGTTAGTGATGGAAATCCAAAATTATTATTTGTCAATCAGGGCCCATTTTCATGTGTTTCTTTGTGCAGCATTATTGCACATGCTTTAGTGTGAGTTGTGTTTCAACAGCCCATTCATAATGAAATGCTTGTCAATGCACCACAATTAATAAAAATGTACAGGAACCTTGTTTAACCCCTTCCTGCCACCACCTCCAAGTCCCTTAACAGGATCTAAATGTTGGGAGGCAGAGGCGAGCATTCCAGTAGTTTGACCGTTGTGATTGGCAGTCACAATGACCACATGATTGGAAAGTTCCCCACTGCAAGTATAGCTTTCCAGTACGCGCTTGTTACGCTCTCACCTAGGCACGCATATATGCATCTGTGCTGCGTTGAAGTCCACCCGCCAAGAGGCTGCATATATGCGTACAGCCGGTGAGAACTGGTTATGAATGCAGCGCACCACAACGTATAGTGTATGCAATGTCGTGCATTGTGCAGTGTTGTGCAGTGCATTGGGGTATCATTCACAATTTATGGAACTGCAGCACAACACACACAGAGCAGTATAGAATAATTTCCCTCACTTTAGTAAGATATTCTCTCAATTCTTTAGTGTCTATGGGACAGGAAGTCAAATAAAATCTCCCCAGTGTGGACAGGGTTTAACTATTGCCCACCTAGACCAAAATGGGGAAAAATGAAAGTTTTTAGCTTTACGTGTACTTGAAATTTCCCATGGTCAGATAACTTACTTGGATTTATTAAAATAATAGAGGATGTTTATCTAGCAAAGTGAGTTAGTGATGAAGGGGAACCTCTGCACATTCTGAATACCCAGTCTTATGCAATGAAATTGTTGAATAAGGTGGCAGTTGTATTCTCTTTAAATACCCAAACAGATGCTAGCAACAGTCCTGGATTCAGACCTAACACAAGTTCACCTAGTCACGAGCATTCCCTTTGCTTGGGCTTCAAGTCTAGTCCATTAGTAAATCAACCTTTTCTGGATTATATGTTGTTGTGTCCACACTTCTGTTACTCAGTGAAAATGAAGTTGAATCCAGTGTCTCAAATCCAGGGTTCCCCATGGAGTAAACATGCAGCCAGTCTGTTTCCTGTTGGCCTCAGCATTCTGCGAGTTGTTGGCTGAATACCTATTGTCCGTTTAGAACCAGGGCAGTAGTAGTGGTAGTACAGCAGTGTTTGTAGACTAGGTGTTCTCTGGAAATGACAAGCTGATGGTTTGTGTCCCCATATACAAAGTGGTTGAATGAAGAGTTTTCTCTTGCCTCTCGTGTGGCCAAACGCTGACCATGCTTACTCTTCAGGATTTTTAAATCTGAACTCCTCTGGTGATAAAAGCAGTGCAGAAAGCACATGTTAAATCTTTTACTGAAGACCTCTGTGGAAGTATCTGATTGTTAGCAAACAAACATTCAGAGAAAATCAAGTTACGGAGATACAATTCCATCGTTGCTGGATGTGTCTTTATACTAAATGTCAATGTAGAATGGGCCAAAAATATTTTTAACTTTGTCTTTCTCTGCTTTTATTGCAGATAATGTCTCCTACTGCGTTATTCCTGGCTGCCAAAGTGGAGGAGCAGCCTCGTAAACTTGAACATGTCATCAAAGTGTCTCATGCTTGTCTTAATCCACTAGATCCACTGCTGGACACAAAAAGTGACGTGAGTAAATTACCTTGATCCAGGGGAAGTTGAGCTATGGATATGATACTAGTTATGTGGCCTTTTGTGTGACACTTTGCATGCCAATTCTGAAATTCAAGTCATTTACAATTAAGTTATTCTTTACATTTGAAACATATTTTGTCTTATTTGGCTACCATTTTATTCCAATTTCTGTCAATAGTTCTGTTATAGTATTGTTTCATGCAGTGAACTGTATCCTACCCCTGGAATTAGTTGTCAACTAAACTGGGTATTTATGAATATGGTCTGTTGTGTCTAGGCATACCTACAGCAAGCGCAAGAGCTGGTTATACTTGAAACTATACTGCTACAGACCTTAGGTGAGTGTGTGTATTCTGCTGTCAAAAGGTCTTCTAACTTGGAATCAAATGTTATGTGATATAGAAGCTGCATAAATATGAATGTATTTAGTATAACCTATTTGATACATGTGTCTGTATTTATCTGTGTGTAAATATTCACTGAACAGTCAATACATTTTTGCCGTCATTAAGCCATGATTAATATATAGTCGTCTTTTTTGTATTTTCCCTTAGGTTTTGAGATCACTATTGAGCATCCCCATACAGATGTCGTCAAATGCACCCAATTAGTGAGAGGTTAGTAGTTACTAAATGATAAAATATCACTCTGAATTAAAAATGTTTGGGAGGGGGGGGGTCTCAAACCTTTGTACAAATGCATTGGCACCTTTAAAGCCCAATTCAGGAAACCTAAAAATATTCCCTTGCTGTGTGGTTCATGCATTGCAAGGGTTAGCTGCTCGTTACTGACTAGGGGCAGGGGACAGCCCTCAGCTTCCTCATGTCCATTGCGGGGCTGTGGTCCCTGCATCAGTCTGTCAGAGGTCCTAAACACACCAGAGTGTAGAGGAAGAAAGGCTGTGGGGACTGGAACAGCAGTGCAGGGGAGCCTGCAGGTGCTGAGTATTGGTTAAGTAAAACTGCTTTACCAAGTCCCTTAGACCTAAACAAGCAGTTAACTCTTGCAGTGCAGACACAGCCCCTCTGCAAAGGAGGATTGGTGGGTTTCCTGGAGTTCTGTTTTAGGGTCTGCATATGAAACCACAAATACTGAGCATGTACTCCATGATGACCATAGTTACTTCTGGGAAGTTGAAATAGCATTCCATTCCTAACTATTCCTAAATCTACTCTCACCCCCATTCTAAATCTATTCTACCTTGCGAAAGTAAAGAGGTCTATAGTTGACTATGCTGAGGGTGCTCCGGTCTAGTGCTCGGTTCAGTATAGCCAAATGACAGCCACCAAATGGATGCCCCATAGTAAGCCTATGGGTGACATCACACAGGCTCTGCAGTCATGGTCAACAATCTCTTCACTGAAGCTGGCTGCTGGAGAGATCATGTGACCGGAGCACCCTCAGCATAGGTGGTAAGTATGGACATCTTTCCTTTACAGGGTACTTGGAATAGGTTTAGAATGGGGGGTTGAAGCAGGTTTAGGTATAGTTGGGATATGACTTAAATATGCCACTTTAATAAGTTACTGTCAGTGTGATTGTCCATAGTCCAGTAACAAAAATGTATTTTGTTACTGTAAAGAAAAACAATACTAAGTTTAAAGTTTTTTTATTTTATTACATATATATCGGAAAGTGAAAATCAAGGCTGGTTTTTATGTTTTGAAATGTATTTATTTTGTCCTTTTTGACTGGGACATTTCTCTTCAGTTTCTCACAGATATCCTCAGAAACATGAAGGATTTTAGAACTTCCCAGCCTTCTTCTCTAGCCCCCTAACCTGTTCTAAACTAACACTACTACTACTACCTTACTGACAGGGGTTTAAAAGTCTTTTCAGCACTGCCTGTGCAGTAATTTTCCATAGACTTAAATATGGGGCTTTAGTGTAGCATAGGTTAGAGAGCCAGGAAGAGGGCTGAGAGATTTAATTTTAAACCGAACCTCTTTTTTAGTATGCGTGTAGGTTTTTATTTTCAGTGAAATTGAGGGAGTGCATAAGAAGGTTGTGTATACTATCAGGTTTAGATAAGCTTGAAAAAATATCAGTACAGGAGTATGCAGTCACAGTATTGTCTTATTGACCATAAACTGCTTGCAGTAGATATTTCTTAAATTGTTGATAGTTATTACCGCTTTGCACTAATTTCTCCTGTTTTTCTTTTGCAGCAAGCAAGGATTTGGCACAGACCTCCTATTTCATGGCTACCAACAGGTGGTTATCCTGAACCTTTGTTGCACAGTCGCAGCACACTATAGCTTTCTTTACTGCAGGGTCCTCTTCCTGTGTCTCACTGGCCTTGGCTCATAGGATGAGGCTGGGCTGTCCCACACAACCTGGTCTTTCTCCTGTGTCTAATGCTCGGCGCTGTAAGCGGACCTCTGACACAGAGGGGTGGATTGCGCAACAAGAAATGTAGTGTTGCTTTCTGATCAGTTTCTTGATTCTGAGTGCATTTACTAAACTGGTAGCTCCGAATAGCATCTAAAGAGCTAAACTTACCCTAGAATATCTTGGTAAGTATAATTGTACTTCAGCTTCTCATTTAAATTTTTATATACCTATAAATCAGTCCTAATTTTATAGCCTTTTAGAATAGCGATATCAAGATGCGTTTTTATTTCGTTTAGCATTAATGCATAAAGATTATTTTCAAACCAACTACACGACAAAGATGAAGACTTGCTTAAATGCTAAATTCATCTTGTACATATTTCATAGCCCCACATATGTAATACGGGACTCAGAATCCAGATTCCGAATAATATTCTTTGCTGTTGTTGTTGTTCAACAGATTTAATAATAACTCTGTTTTGTTTTTCCAGGAGGCTGGCTTAATTCTTGGTAAACCGCAGCCATGATTGCTGGCCATGGCTGCCGTTTTTCCGTTTGGATGATGTCACCATTTTGTTGTGGCCCGACATGGGGCGGTTGGCTCCCAATAGAGCACCTGCATGATGAGCACTGGACTTGTCTTGCAAGCCCCGTGCCCATCATGCAGGAGCCCTCCACTGTTGGTGTGCTGGGAATATGCGAGTGCCTTTGATGTCTTCATAATTCTCCATCGAAACACAATGGAATTCTATTTTTTCCCCTCTTAGCAGCTTTCTTAATATTCCTGAGAGATCACAAATAATTGTAATATGCTTCCACACGCAGTTCTTTCAGTTTATCTGTACATTGTATTTAAGGCTTTATTATTTTGAATGTGTTCTGAAATATGTTGACTTGCATTTGGTTTAGTTGGTTTGAAATGGTTTTTTATTTTGGATTTCTTGTGCCTAGATTTTAGTATTTTACATCGTGATTTTTTTTTTCTTTATTTTTAATATAATTGTATTGCTTTACAGGTGGTGGGTGCAGTTTTGGAGAACTGTTTTATGTTGGAACTAAATCTTACTAGTTTTTTAGGTTAAATGTCTGTGAAGCTTGTACTGATAGTTCTATTTACATAAGTTATAGCTGAACTCCAGCTCCAACATATTTACATTGCTCCAGCTTTGCACAATGTAAGTATGCATATCTTATACCTGAAGAGCCACCGCGGAAGCTGAAGACCACAAGAGAGCGCGATTTCTGTGATAACTGCACTCTTTTGGGTCCCGCTCTGTGCAAGTGGCCGAGATTGTGACATCAACACTAGCACTGCACCTCTTCCAGTCAGAGGCTTTCTCTAAATGGCGGTAACTACAGCCATTTGGCACTGGACCTGGATGACTGCTACCATCATAGAAATGGAGACTTCTGCAGAGACTTGCAGCCTCCATAGGAATTGCTCAGGTATGAGAGATGCATACTTACATTGGTCCAAGCTATACCATGTGTAACCATGCAAAAAAAAAAAACAAAAAAAAAAAAATCACGCCTAAATTTCAGCTTTAAAACTTTGGCCTTTTACAGTAAACCAAGACTGCTGGTTGTTAGCAGGCAACACAAGGCATAGAGCAGTACATTTATTGTATCTGTTGGAAGCTCTGTTTTGCTTGCTGTCGAAGCTCCCTGAAGCCTATATTTGAATAAAAATAGCATAAATATCTAATATTGGGGAAAAAAACTGGCACATGCACTGATGCCAGATAATAGCTTGGTTAAGCATTGAACACAATCTTGAATGAGTTCTTATTTTTTTTTTTTTTCCCCCTACATCTTGAAGTGCAGCTTCACTCTTTGCATGCTTGGTGCATGGTTTGCAGTTCTCCAGTTAGTGTCGCAAAGATGACGATGACATCCCCAGAGACTGCAATTTTAAAAATAAGATCTAGATGTTACCTCCTTTTCTTTCATCCTGACAGATTTCTTTTGTCAGTTCACCCAGTTTGTTTTTTTACATGCTTTTTTGTACTTGAAGAGGAGCTCCAGGCTCCCCCCAAAAAATTAAGTCAGCATCTTCAGTATTTTAATAGGACCCTTACCTGTCCAGGAATCCTGCGATGTCCTTGCCAGAGTCAATTCTTCAGTTGGCTTCGGATACAGGTGCCAGCATCTTAAGTAAGGGACACCGGCAGCGAAGCCTTGTGGCTTCACATCCAATTTCTTACTGCGCGTGTGCGAAGCGTGCTGCGCTTTGTGCATGGTCCCACAGTCTTCTGGAACCTGCGATGTTTCCCAGAAAGCTGTAGGGGAGGGAAGCAAACGTTCAGCTTAGGTCGACACGGGGCATTTGATCAGAAGTGGTAGCGGGTACATCTCAAAACCAAGTACCCCCTCCAAACAAGCAGAACTTCCACTTTTGGGTGAAGTTCTGCTTTAACTTATTAAAGTGTCCCTGTCTCATGATAAAATGCTTTCAAGAAAGCATATTACTGTGAAACAGACTGAATACTGAACACTCCTACTGCCTGCGCTGTTCAACGTTGCATGTTGCAGAGTCGTGTTCCCCTGAAGTGAAACCAACACTTCGGGAATGTCCAATCTATGGTTCCCCTCATCTTACTGGTTTCTCTTACGTCATGTCAATACTATATCCTGCCATGATATAAGTTCAGGAGGAGGAACCAGTGTGCAGTGTGGAGCACTACAGAGATGCACTCCCAGAAGTGTCAGTTTTATTGACAGACATTGGGGGGATCAGTTCTCTGCTATAGAGTAGTGTTGTGTGACGCATGCGGCAGGAAAGGTTAGTACTTACTAACAGTTGCTGAAGTTATCTGTAAAGAAAAAAAGTTCTATTTTTATTTGCTTTCCTCCCATCTTCTGCATTGATGAGAAATGCAGAGCAGGGCAAATCTCGCAAGACCCTTGACTTGTGAAATTTGGGCTGCTGTGTATTTTTCCAGTAAGCAGTGTGATATCACTCTTGCCTAGAGAAGATAAGGATGAGGTAAGTTTTAATGTCAGGGCTCAAAATTTCAAGTTCTGAGCTACTAGCCAAGCCTTAAGAGTTACTCGCCACCAGTTGCCCCACCCAACCCCTACCCTGCCCCTAATCACACGCTTGTAAATTATCTCATGAAATGACACTGTTAAATGTTTTATGCATTCCACCCCCAGGTCAGTTTGTCCCCAGTAAAATCCCCCCCCCCTCCCCAAGGACAGTCTGTCCCCAGTAAAATCTACCCACAGGAGGGGGGCAGTGAGACAGGTGTAGAGAAGCTTTTGGGATTTGAGCACAGGTATCTCTTGTTTGTTAGGTGTAGACGAGTGTCACAGGAGACGGGCAGTGGGAGATGTGGGGGCTGCATGACGGGGGGGCAGTGGGATAAATGGGGGAGGCAGCGTCACAGGGGAAGGGACGCAGTGGGATAGATGGGGGGGGCAGTGGGACAGCTGTCACCTGTCCAGCAGTATCAGTGGCGAGGATATGGTAGTAGGAGGGGTAGCTGAGCTTGACACGTGGTTGTTGTGGCGGGTGGGGGTTAGCGGTGTGCTGCAAGTGGGGCTGTCCGCTGTCACACAGATGCCTGGACTTGGCCCCAGTGACTCCAGTCCTCTGTTGAGAAGCGACACTGCAGTTGAAGGTGGGATTGGCGGGTTCCGGCATGTGGTTGACCCTTCGAGCCCTCCAGCAGTTGATGCAGGAGGCCGAGGGGAGGATGATGGTGGTGGTGGGGGGGGGGGGGGGGGCTTGCCTGCAGTGTCCTCCGTGGGGCTGTGCAGGACTTTCTGCTTTGCCTGGACTGTGCACAGGGAGGGATGGGGAGACTCCGAAAGTCCTGGAGCACTGGGCTGGGCTTCACACTCGCCCTCGTTATTTCCACTCGCCAAATGTGAGCAGGCGAGTGGAAATTTTGAGGCCTGGTTAATGTAACTTTTTTTCTCTACAGATTTGTTTTACACATGCGAAGAATGAGTAATTCTTACGAGCGGAAGGGATCCAGACATAAGTGAACCTTCTACTGCGCAGGGTCCACTTTAATACAATCGGCCACTTGGGGCCCATTGTTTTCATTGGTTCAGTTAATCCGTATGCTTGCATTGTCAGAAATCGGAACGCACACCCCTTGTATTGTGTTGCGCTGCAATGTTGGAAGCAGAACTTGCATATTGTTATTAGCAAATAGGGCTGTTGCCATGTACTGTACATATGTAATTAAAAACATAGGTGCGTATGTATGCTTGTGTGTCTTATAGTGTAAAGCTGGCCATACACTGGTAGATTATCAGAAGGACCGTGGTATGAAAAATCTAAACTACAAATGTAATATGCTTTTAAAGATCTGTTTTCGTATAAATGGAATTTCCCGAACGAAAATAACATACACTGTTAGAAATTAGTTTGTTCAGAAAAAATTTCCATCCTGTCCCTTTGAATTTCCTTGTCATTACAGATAAGGATCCTATTTTTCTTGTGCTTTCCTTAGGAATTATTTACTGTAAATGCCGCCTTTTCATCCTTCATGGCATATAAAATAAAGTTATATATTGCCCAGTGCAGTATTCAACTTGATCGGCACAATGTATAAGTGCTTTAACTTTTTTTTTTATTTCAAATATTTTGATTTTGTGAACCTGTATTTTGATAACTGTAATTCATTCAGAAGTTGCAGTACAGCAGGTACCTTTATGCCCTCTCACATGGGTGATCTGATCAGGTCTGCCTGTCATTTTTTTCAGGTGTACCTGATCGGAAGGTCCATTCATTCCTATGGCCAGGAGGCTGTAAATGGACTTGTCCTACCTTCCTGTTATTTTTCGGTCATCTAAAAAAAAAAAAATGAAGGGGAATATGTCCTCTTCTGTTGGATCAGAGGGTAGTCTGCTATAAACTCACAGCAGTATCTGTTTACTCTTGGCCACCCATAGAGCAGAGCCAGCTCTGTCCATATCATCTCTGCTAAAACTGAACACAGATGTTTCATCCGCCTGCTCTGATCAGTGGATGTTCTGTGGGCTGATTCCCTGCCGATCTGAACGGAATCTGCTTCCTGTGAAAGGGGCCTTAGGGGTCTTTTTTTCTATCTGCACTGAGCCTCTGCTCCTTCCAATTCTACTACTGTAGCCCCAAACCACCCACCCATAATTTGATGCATGGTGCATTGATAATAACCCTTCATGTGGGGCTCGTGCCTAACCCTAGCCATATATTTTTAAGTCAAGCTTAGATTTTCAGAAGCAAGTTCAAGCCCTTCCAGCGCACAACAGATCCCAGCCTTCCAAGTCCAGTAATCAAGGTCCTGAAGATATGGGCAAAACAAGTCTCAGGGTTATGGAACCTAGAGATCCTGCAGCTGCCAGAGAAGTTCCGAGAAGACCAAAGGAACAGCAGTGTGGGATCCTTGTCGGCAAAATAAATGTGAATTTATTTCAACAAACCAAAATAGTACACTCATGTGTAAAGCTCTTGACAAACGTTTCAGGCATAGTAATCGGCATTGGAAGTGACATCTAGCTGTATTAGGTACATGGCTATTCCAAATCCCCAGCCGGCATATCAGAGGACCGGAATCTGACAGCTGTCACAGACCGCCAGTGGCCGGCATCACACACGGCTAACACTGCCTTGTGGAAACTCCACACACTGATGGAAAGGAGGAGAGGGAGGACGGGGAGGAGGAGGTAATATGTTTCAAAGGGCACTCCTTCTTTGTCCTAACAATGTCAAAGGAGTGTCCTTTGAAACGCGTTACTGCCTCCTCCCTGTCCTCCTTCTCCTTTCCATCAGTGTGTGGAGGTTCCACAAGGCAGTGTTAGCGGTGTCTTGCGCCGGCCATTGGAGGTCTGTGACATACCAGATTCCAGTCCTCTGATATGCCGGCTGGGGATTTGGAATAGCCGTGTACCTAATACAGCTATGTGTCACTTCCAATACTGATTCCTATGCCTGAGCCATTTGTCAAGAGCTTAATCTGTAAGTGTTCTATTTGAGTTTGAAATAAATTCATGCTTTTGCTGACTAGGATGTTCCTTTGGACTTCTCATAGAATTTTCAGAGGTGCTCCTTCAGCACACTGGACATGACAGAGTATATGGTGAAGGAAGGAGTGGAGACCCTATATGTCTACTGTATTTGTGGGCTTTGTAACTTTGTAAACCTGTATGAAAGTAAAAACGTTGGCCTTCAGAGGGGGGGTGGGGGGGGGGGGGGTGTTTGGTTCTTTATTTGTGCACATTTGTTTTTGTCTGATTTTTTTTTTTTTGTATATTTAATATATGACTAATGGTCTTTCTTTTTTTCTTTTCTTTGTTTCCACATGTTCAGCCTTCACCTCACTACATTCTGCCTTCAGTACAAGCCCACTGTAATCGCATGTGTTTGCATTCACCTGGCCTGTAAGTGGTCCAATTGGGAGATACCTGTATCGACCGATGGCAAGCATTGGTGGGAATACGTGGACCAAACGGTTACATTGGAATTGTTGGATGGTAAGAATGATGCATTATGTTTTGATTAGAGAAGATTCTTCTGTATAAGATTTTCTTTTCAAAACCCCAAAATATTCCAGATATTTGCTGTGGCATTTGGTGAAAGGTGAAGCAATTGCTAACTTTATCTAGTCCACATAAAATGTATGTATAGCCAAACTTTTTTTTTTTACAGTAGAGACCTAAAACCCCTGTCAACTTATTTATTTTTTTATGTTGTCTTTGTCCCTTTTGAGGAGGTTTTCAGTCACTTTCTGTCCCAAAGATTCAATTTGAATTGAGAGGAAATCTCTCCTCTTAACCTTTGTCACCTGATATCACAGATATGAATATGCAGTCTACCACTTTTCATTAATGGTAGTTTTGTCAAAATATGATATTGTACTCAGAGTAAAAAGGATATACTTTATATGCAGCTACTTACAGTCGATGGGGCACTGGCAAATAAAGAAAACGGCAGTGACATCCCCTTATTTAGTCCCTCCCTCTCTTGGCTAGCATCACATTTTTGTTAGTACCCTTAGGTGATGGACATCTTCTATCTGCCAGGGAAGGCTTATGTTTTTCCTGTGGAGTGTTTTCTCACTCCTGTGGCAATTATTTTCTTTTGTGGGACCTGTACACAGGTCCTGCTGAGTGGGAGTATCAGGGCCAGCATGCTGACATGCCCTGGGTCCTGCTGTGGGCACTTCCTTTGATACATACTGTTGGCCACATGGTACTTTACAGGTCCAGGGCTTTAGTCTGCCAGCAGCAGAACCCTGGTCTTGAAGACCCCCTGGAGGGCAAAACCAGGTTTATTCCCCTGTTGATCATTCCTACGGAAGTTGCAGCATTGAGTACTAGGTGGAGGACCTTTAAACAATCATGCCTGGAGTTGCCTCCTTTTTCTCTTATCCCCCCTTGGAGTGTGTGGGGGGTCTGCCAAACACCCTCTTTGTGGTTGTGGCTGAGAGCCGGGAGCACCATGTTTTCTCTGGTGCCATTTTTACTGTAAATGCATGACTCTACTGACACTATTGCACCTTCATGCCTCCCCCTTGCAGCACCTAAATGTGACCTGGGCACTTACTGTGTCTGCGCAGCTTTGGTAACTACTTCTGCACTGCCCCATTTCAGTAGGGTTACTGCAGCTGTGTCATACAGCGCTGAGCAAACCCTTTGGCGCTATATAAATACTGTATAATAATAATACTGTTTTTAGATGTGAATTTGGTCCAGCATCATCTTCTGGCTCTCTCCTGGTGGCAAAGTATAGTAGTTTCTACTGTACTATTTGGTTTATAGTGTCCTACAAGTGCTTATAATTGAGGCATTCCTTTCACTCTTCACAGATGTGAACATCATGCATGCGCCTTTGAGTTTCAAGTATGGCAGATTTTAAGTGCAAGGGAAAGGGATCAGATGGACTTGGCTCGGTTGATGGCTCTAATGGGGGTAGTAGTATATCCACTCAGGGTCCTGGTACCCTTTACTCTGCCTCCAATGCGGTTACCTGCTTTCTGCAGATCTGTCCGTTGCATCCGTTTTCCACTTTCCTATCCAAGGAATTTCCTGATGCAGTGTTAGATTTTATGGAAAGAATGTCTGATCTAATAGTCCACAGGGGTCACAGCAATGCACCTTCAGCTTTTAAGTCAGTATTTAATTTGACCCATGAGCCAGACACCATACTTGGGGTGGAAGTAATAGCTGAGGATGTTTGCTCTGCTTTAGGGGGTACAATCTTAAGGGTGCCATTACGGATGCTGTATTCTCTGGCATGGCATTGGAGCAGTCTGAGTCTGCTAACTTCCTAGTTATCCAGCATGGGGTCCCTTAAATGGTCTAAACCAGCAAAGATTTTTCTGATTCACTTGCTGGGGTAGAGCTTGTCCTGTATGAGATCTCACTTTGCTCAGCAGTATCCTGTTTCCTATAATAGAGGACATTTCCTGTGATAGATTCTGCCATTTCTAATAACAAGAGCCTCACAGCCCTGGTAGAGGATAACCCTGTGTTCAAGGACTCTGTAGAAAAGGTTTGAGGCCCTGCATTTTCTCTTGCAGTTTGCCAGACATTGTGGTCCAGGCTAAATGCAAACCCTGAAATCCCACTTCTATTCTAACAGAATGCCTCAGTGACAGACCTTATATGTATAGTTTTATGCCTCTTTGTCAGTTTGTCAGACGCTCTGTCAGATTTCCAGGATTCTTCTGTCCATTCACATGACTGAGATCTTTTGGCTTAAATTCTTAATGCTGGTCAGCTGAGCTCCCATGTAAGAAGCACCTTGAGTGGTCACCCCACGAATGTGAATACTTTTGGTCCCTCTTTGGATAAGTACAGCAAAGAGATTACTTGCCCTGTAGTGGAAAATCTAGATGATCTGTTACCAGTCCTTCCTGTCCCTGTTGGCCAGCATCCAGCAGACAGTACAGACTGCAGAGCTTTGGTTGAATCTTCAACCTGAGGAAGTCATCACTGGACCTATTGCACAGATTGGAGTTCCTGGGCCTGAGGTTAACACCTTCACACAAATATGCAGCCTCACAGAACTGGGCTTTTTTCTGTGGGGCCTCATATTTGTGTACCTGTCTTTCTGCTGGGAGCGCGCCGCACAGCGTGCTCCCAGCACAAAGATGGGTGCCACTGATAGTCCTGGTTCTGTTCTAACGATTGGGACCTGGGACTCCCGATTCCGGGTCACATGATTGCTGTGATCACTGTGATAACCAATCAGAGGCTATCATGATAGTCACTGTACAGCCCGGCCCCCTTGTTTTTGTTTTTTTTTCTCTCCCTCTGAATGGAGAAGAGATATACATTGTATCTCTTGCCTTCGTTGCATAGAGGGAAAACAATTGTTAAAAAGATAAATATGAAAAAATTAAGAAAATATACCTAGATCAAGGTTTGATCTAGTTCAGTGCCAGGGTTATTTGGGTAAGGGTCAAAGGTCAGGAATTTTTTTTTTCCCATTAAATTGTTAGTGTCAGTGTGTGTTTTAGGTAAATAAAACAAAATGCACACTATTGTTTGTAGGCTATACTGTGGGTACAAAAAATAAAATACACATACATGGTAGCGCTGCGATCGTCTAGAGCTGGAAAATTTATTTTGGGTTGTACTTTGGTAGGTTATAGTAGTAACAAAAAACAGCTAAATTTAATAAAATAATTTTTTTTTTCTTTTTTATTATTTTGGGACAGTTTTCCTTTGATAATAAAAAACAAAATCAGGAGATATCTATTGCCATTTATGACCAAATGAAAGCCCAATTTGTCATGAAAAAAAACAAGGTATAATTCACCTGGATGTACAAAGTAGTTGTGGTGATATGTACGGTTTTACTTGCACGTGTCAACGTTGCAAAATTGTGCTTAGGCGTTGATTTGTTTTACCCTTGGGCATGAAGGGGTTAAATCTGGCTCTGTCCAGGATCTTCCTGTCTTGGAACAAGCTTCTGTTATCCTCTGCTCTCATGCCAGGGGAAGTCCTCAAATTTTGCCTGTTTGAGGGTTTTGGGTCTAATGGCTGTGCCCTGCATCGGAGAACAGCATCTGGCCTTGAGTATCATCAAAGGTCAAATCTCAGCTTTTGTCATTCTGTTCCAGGGACCTCTAGCCTTTCATTCCCTTATATTATGGCCCTTGTTCAGGGTGTAGAACACATCTCACCCCATTTGCGCTCTTCTATGTCTACTTGGAACTTTAATCTGGTTCTCTTGGGTCTTCAGAAGCTGCCTTGTGAACCGATTTGTGATATTCAATTGGCTAACCTTATTTGCAAGGTGGCCTTTTTTGTTTCAATCGCTCCTTCATGGAGGGTCTGAGTTGGTGGCCTTTTCCTGTAAGCATCGATTTTTTAGTGTTGCACAGGTACATGGTTGTCTCAAGGTTAAAAGCCTTCTCAATCCGGAAGGTGGTTTCTTTCCACCTTAACCAGGTCACTGCACCATTGTGTGAACGAGACCAAAGTGTGTTAAAGGCTAAATTCAGCTATACCAAAAAATACTAAATGCAGATATTGTTGCAGGTAAAAAAAAATTAATTTTTTTCTACAGGAGCCTGCAAAGTTTTGCACCTGTGATTAGTGGACCATGGATGCAATGTCAGGTTTCTTGCCTGTACCTCTCTACGTGCTTTCTGTTTGGAAGTGTCCGTGGACAGTGAGAGCTCCTCAATGCCCTCAGTCCATTGAAAACTACAAGCAGTCTGCTGTGGTTGAAGACAGAACTTGTAGTTTTCCTATTCACAGTGGAGCCCCACACAGCATACCAATTTTGAAATGTGACTTTTGTCTTGCCACCAATTGCGTTCCTCCCCTCTGTTCTTAATAATCTCTCCTATTGCATGCTACAAAACTAAGGCTAGCTGAGTGACAGGTTCAACCATACTGGTTGAAAAAGACAAGTTCATCCAGATAATCCAATAGAGAAAAAGAAAAAAGCACACAGAAATAAACGCCATATACACTATCCAGTATCCACAATTGAGCCAGAGGAACGCAAAAAAAATAAAAGCATTATCCAGTTTTGCTCCTGCGGGGAAACAATTTTATCCTGATCCCCAAAGAGACAATTGGATATTCCCTGAATCAACTTTGCCTATAAATATCAGTATCCAGTTACATGCATTTAGGAAAGAATCCAGGCCTTTCTTAAAACAATAGGTTATATAGGGGGGTGTCCCTGCAGCCTTCTGTTTTGAGCCCAATCACCTAAAGGTAGCTGCATATAACCCAGTCGTAATGATTAAAGATCCTGTGTACTGTACTCTGAACAACAGATTTTACTGATTAGTCAAAAATCCTATTTTTGGATGACATGAAAAAGGGTTGAAACACCTTGTAATGTTTTAACTGTTCTGTTTGGCGCTTTGTTAGATTTTTCCTTGCTTCCTGTCTGGTACCTGTCTCTAACAGTAAAACAGAGAATATAAAGTTGACAGGTGTTTTGGCATTTTTATTGTCGTCTACATTGCTGTTGGAGCATTTCTTGGGGATTTAATGGTGTCTGAGGCTCAGATTTCACCTCACTTGTTGTCCCAACAGATTATATTCTGCGCTTTCCAAAACTAAAAATACTTTATAATGGCCAATAAAACTATTCGCAAAATTCTATACTCAAAATTCAAACTATATTCATGCAATCCATATTTTTTCTTTTACAGAATTGACACACGAATTCCTGCAAATACTCGAGAAAACACCTAGCCGACTGAAAAAGATTCGCAACTGGAGGGTAAAGAGTTTTGTCCTGAAGTGCTATTGCAATTGTCCTGTTAGATTAAATCAACTAGTGCCTGGGTGTAATTGCTATTTTTCTAATGCCTGCAACATAATGTTTGACATTTTTTTTTATATATTACTAGTTATTCATGGATAGATCATTACATTTTTTTACATGCAGCTCAAACGCAAGTTCTTGAATTAGTATCGATCTTTAAATCTCTGGACGCGGAGCAAGTCTGCTTCAAAGGAGCATGCTGATAAGAGAACCGAGCAAAGGGAGGGCCTCAAAAGTTTGCTGTTGCTTTTTCAGTGTCCAAACAGCAGGCTAGTAGTAGAGAGGGCACACCACTGTACCTCTTCTACAGTCGATATCCGTAACAGCGTTTTTGGCAGGGCTCTGCAAATCTCAGAACTTGATGGGCACAAATACAAATACTTGGTTGGCATTACAGCCACGGTGTATGTTTTTTATGTATTTATTTAGCTGTTTGCCCAGAGGTCAGCTTTAATGAACAAAAGAAATTGGGAAACGTAAAACATTTCAGCAATTTCCCAGAGACATATTATTTGTGGCAGTTGAGTGCTTTGTTTTGCAAGTTTGGTTGTAATTTAACTATTTAATAGTAAAACTATTCTTTCTTGTGTTATCTTTATCTTCAGTTTAATATTTTGGGATTTCTAAACATTTATCCAATTACGATTTTCTTTCAGGCCACCCAAGCTGCAAGAAAGCCCAAGGCAGATGGACAGCTTGACAACTCTCTCCTTAACTCTTCTTTAGTCCCGAACTCGATTTTGGTGGACCCTGTAGCTGGTATTGGTTCAAGCGCCACTTTTCCCAAACCTTCAACATCTGCATTTCCAGCACCTGTGGCCCTGAACTCAGGAAGCATGCCCATTCAGGCAGCCCTTAACACTGACGAACTGCCAATATTAGCCATGCCTGGTACGTCCTACACCATATCATCCCATCACGAATGGCCTCAACACCAGGAACAGCCTAGAAATGATCAAACATACAACCAGAAGCAAGATGGTTCCCTTTCTACAGCTCAGTACAATATGGCTCAACTCCACCCTGTTTTACATCATCGATCTGAGAAAGGTTCTGAGCATGTGGTGAAGCAGGAACACGGTCACAAGACATCCAGCAACAAACACCACGGACAGATTTATGCTCCACCTGTAACATTGTCCCATAAAATGTCTCTGGACAAGTACAGAGAGAAACGCAAGCTTGAGTCTGTCGAGATTGATGTTCGTGATCAGATCCCAACTGGTCACCTCGATCAGCCGCAACTGTCGCATAAAAAACACGCGCAAATTCCTGGAGGCAGCTCCGTCACCTCCCCTATCAAAATGAAAATTCCGATATCTACCACAGAGAAGACCGACAAACATTCTTCCGACAAAAAGGATAAAAGCGGCTCCCTTAAGTTGCGGATTCCCATCCCCCCAACGGAGAGAGGCTCCAGCAAAGAGGACTTGAAAATGAAAATAAAAGTCTCTTCCGCAGACCGACACAGCTCATCTGACGAGGGCAGTGGCAAGAGCAAGCACTCAAGCCCACATGTGAGCAAGGAACACAAAGACAAGCACAAAGAGCATTCTTCCAATCGGCACCATAGTAGCAGCCACAAGCATTCCCATTCACACTACAGCAGCGGGAGCAACAACAGCAGCAATAAACTTTGCATAGATGGGATGCCAACGACTGTTTTACGAAGTCCCGTTGGTGTGCCCAACGATGGTGGTACCTCGAGCTCCAGCTCCTCAAGGAAGAGGCCGCATTCCAATGACGCCTCTTACAACCACCACACCAAAATGAGCAAAAGTTCCAAAAGTTCAGGTAGTTCTACTAGTTCTTCCTCTGTTAAGCAGTATATATCCTCGCACAACACTGTTCTTAACCATCCCTTACTCCCTCCTCCCCCTGTCACATACCAGGTGGGCTACGGGCATCTCAGCACCCTCGTGAAACTGGAAAAGAAGCCAGTGGAGACCAACGGCCCTGATGCCAGTCACGAGTATAGTGCAAACAGCCAGCATATGGACTACAAAGATGCATTCGACATGCTTGATTCGCTGTTAAGTGCCCAAGGAATGAACATGTGATTAGCTCTTTTTTAATTTTAAATGGCTTCTCCCTGCCTATTCCCCATCACTTCCCAACCCTCTTTGCCCCTCCCGTTTTTATCATGTATATATTATATATATTTTTTTTAATTTAAAACAGAAAAGTTAGTACGGAAAAAAACTTCCTTATCTAACCAATGGTAACACCTGTTGCCGCAGTTTCAATAAATGTTTTAAGTGCTGCTCTTATCCCTCAAAAAAGAGGTTTAGTGAAATGTCTATCTCCACATATGATAGTGTTATAAATACTGTAATTGCATGGAAGGTGCAACAAAAAAAAAAAAAAAATCAGTATTTCTTCAATTCTATGAACATAAGAGAGCGGATGGGTTTGCTTCTAAGTCGATAGATTGCTTCAAGCCTGGTTGACTCCGCCTTTGGCGTTGGCTACCTAGCAGTTCCTTGATGCTTAGATTTCGTCAGATGTTTGTAAAACAAAAAAAATGTTTCTTTTTGTATATTTAAAATGTATGTATGATATGCATGTCTCATAGATAAAGGGATAAAAACAGATTATACAGACAACTGTTTACAAGAAGGTGGAGAAAAAAATGTACATACATTTTTGTATGTTTAGATATAACCATAAAATACTCAGGTTTGGAGCTGCTTGTAAGAATAACAATATACAGATTTAACTTTATTTCTATCTCGTCATAGTCCATCGAAAATACTAAACAAAAACAAAGATGGCTTTGCCTCATCTCCTTAAAAAAAAAAAAAAAAAAATCTATTCTGTGCTACAGTGGCCTGGAATCAGTAGGCTTTCGTGGCACTAGGACAGTAAACTGTAGGCCTTAATGGAATCAGCTGAAAACCACTAAAGAGGACATTTTTGTTGTAGCCCGTGAAGCAGACATACCCGTAAGCATCACCAGAGCGGCAGTAGGGGGAGAGCATATGTGCCTGTTGTTTTTTTTTTAGGTTTTTTTTTTTTTTTTTTTTAACACGGTAACTGGCTCTTTCTCAGTCCTCAGGGTTGCGAAGGAAATAGGAAAAAAAAAACAAAGTTTACATAATCTTTTGCTGTGAAGTGCATTTAAGTGTTGGCTTGATGCAGTAATATAGACAGAGTTGATGATGGTAATTGTAGATTCATGTAATTAAAAAAAATAATTCAAATTTGTAAAAAAAAAAAAAAAAATAGAAAAAGAAAAAACTTGCATAGTGACCTATTAGTTTTTTTTTTTTTTTTTTTTTTTTTTTTTTTTTTTATACACCAAAAGTTATTTTAATAGCTTAAAGGATCACTGTTTTATTAGTGTGTCAGAATGTACTTGTCATTTTGCCAATTCATAACCTTTCCCAAATAAATGCAGTCTTCACACAAGAGTTGAAATTGCTATACCCTGTTTTCGTTTTTTTTTTTTTTTTTTTTTTTTCAGTGGGACAGTTGTCACTGACTATTGCATTGTACTTGTGAGGTTTGATGTTGGAGAGTTTCATGTTTTGCCTAACCCAGAATTACCCTGAAAACCACTCCCCTCCATTCTGTCTCTTTGCGTCTGGATGTTGCGTGTTCATAGTATGTGCAGTCTCTGTTTTAATGAAACTGTAAATTTTTTTTGTATACTTTTTTTTTTTTTTTTTTGCATCCTGGACCTTCTCAAGCTTATTCAGTGACCAGTCTTCTCATTTACTGTATATGTACTCAGTGCTGACAGACCAGAAAATAAAGCGTATATTTTTATTCATTACTTTGTATTTGAAAGTACTGTATGCACTATTGTAAGTCACTTTGAAAAGAAAAAAAAAACTGGATTGTATGTTTAATGATAGACACGTGCTTGGCAAATGTCTGTGTGCAGTGGTGGAAGCTATGTAGCGGAACAAACCTTACAGCCAATTAGTTCTCTCGTAACGTATGACAGGAAGTGAGGTGGTAAGTTCCTGCATTGCAGCTCAGGCACAAGATGGCTGTTCTGGCCACGTGTAGGGATTTAGAACCGGTTTAACAAGCCCGCTGTGTAACATGGAGTCTGGACTGTGACACTGTATACTTGGAACATTCGTACTCTGCTCTAATGCTGTATACCTGAACATTCATGTCATTGCGGTAATGATGATTTGGGCTGAATGCACAGGCTGTGACATTTGAAATGTTTCTAGCCAGTATGCAATTTTTTTTTATTATAAATATACCGTCGGCATTCTTGCTATAAACCAATGACTACTTTAGCCTTACAGTGTATACATGTATTATTGATATTGTTAAGCCAGAATAATAATAAATGTAAATACAACTTTGCGCGATTACCTTTTTATCTGTATTGTTTTCTGTATGTGCTCTTGATAATTCTTTGTGTGCCTCCCTTTGACACAGATCTATTCCGAGGCTGGGGAATTTCCAGATAGCCAGTGCTGACTTTTTTTTACCCTTTTGTGAAAGGGTTAGTTTGCTGTTAATGGCTTTTTTTTTTTTATTCCATATGCATTACAGCTTTAAGTGTACATTAAAGGATAAGTTCACCTTTTTGGAGCGTGCTACAGGTTCCACCTGTATTTTTGGAACATGTTACATGTTCCAGCAGCTGCAGCCTCTCCTCCCCCCTTGTGACTCAGAGCGGGGGATCATCTCCCTGCACCCACAGTCACCATTTAAAAATAATTTGGCTGTGCGGGGCTCTCCACCCACATGGCAACGTCATTCATTCAGTTTCTTATGCATGCTAAACTACAACTACCGTGAGCCATTGCAGCTGACTGCTTGTAGTTCTGAATGGACTGCGGGATTGTGGTTCATGGTTCATTCACAAAGCCCTACAGCTTGTAAACAGCCGTATGCAGGTATGGGCTGAAAGCTGCTGGGCTTGTCTGCGTTAGTCTAGCATTGCACCCCTGATCCACTGATCAGGGGTGCAATGCTTTCCAGGCTCCTTAGGGAAAAAATAATGTCCATTTTTTTCCTTTTTATTTATTGCAGGTACTTCTATAGCGCTGTCAATTTACGCAGCGCTTTAAATATATATTGTACATTCACATCAATCCCTTACCTTCAAGGGGCGTACAATCTAAGGTCCCTAACTCACATTCATATATACACAAACTAGGGACAATGAACCTCCCATCATGTCTTTGGAGTGTGGGAAGAAACGGGAGTACCCGGAGAAAACCCATGCAGGCACAGGGAGAACATGCATAATCCAGGCAGGTTGTGCTGTGGTTGGGATTTGAACCGAGGACCCTAGTATTGCCAGGCAAAAGTGCTAACCTAAAAGATGAACTTATACTTTAAAATGCTGTCTTCGAGTAAAAATTAAATGATTCTTATGTTTGAAGCTTATTCTGTCATGTGCAGGGGTAGACTGACAACTCATGGGGCCCCTGTCTCCTTGCCCAAACTCAAAAAAGCCTATGAAAAAGGTACCAGGGGCATCTCATGGGGCCCTCTACTGACCCCGGGCCCTCAATAGGGGATCATGGGGCCCCTGTGTCCTTGCCCAAACTCAAAGCCTATGAAAAAGGTACCAGGGGCATCTAATGGGGCCCCCTACTGACCCCGGGCCCTCGGGCAGTGCCCGAGTTTCCAAATGATCAGTCCGCCCCTGGTCATGTGGTTCCCCTCTCTTTCCTTTTCCAGACGGAAGGACATCTGACCAATTGAATGCATCGCCCAACTCCTCAAACGAGCACTTGGCTATAAGAACATGGCTTGCCTAACCACACATTAGCAATCCTCTCTCTCCCAGCATTAGCTGAGGCCAGTGCTCTGTGCTGGAGAGGGTGGACTCTGCATGGTCAGGCAATCTGTGCTCTTGTAGTTGAGTGCTCATTCATGAGGTGTTGAGATAGCACATCCAACGTTCTGTCATTTAGGGGGGATAGAGAGGGAAAGCCCATGGTAGAATGATTCTAAATTATGAAGCTAATTCATCACAGAAGACAGCATTTTAAAGGATGCACTCATATACATCCTAAATGTGGCCGACGGCTTGCAGTTCTCCATGAACTGTAAGGGCACTGGTGAGTGCTCTTGTAGTCAATTGAGCTTCCTGGACTTCAGTGCCTGCCTGCATTGGAGATATGGGCAGACAGTGTACTGACAGTCTGCAAGAGCCAGATATTGTATACACGATCTGCTGATCGTGGGTGCAATGCTTTACAGGCGCAAACGGAAACAAAATGATACATCACATTTTTTTTGAACTACAAAACAATTTGCTTTTATTTATATTATTAAGGTGAACTTATCCTTTAAGATATACCTAAAAGTAATGCATTTGCAAAAAAAAAAAGTTATTAGAGTACCAACTCATTCTTCCTATAAGCATACATATTTTCCCTTGCTCATGGCTCAGATTTGCTGACTGTTGAATCTACTGGCTCTTACAATGTTTCTTCACTCCTGACTAGCTTCTTACTATCAGGGTTTTGCCATCTTCTCAGGGTCCTTATTTCTGGTTTTACCTTCAAAGTATATCTAAACCCCAAAGCAAAAATATAATATATTACAGCTTACCAGTCCTTAGATGTGGTGGCTGCATTCATTTTCTTTTTTTCAGGCCAAGAAAAGGTTTTTTTTTTAACTACAAAAGTACATGTTCATCTTACTGCAAATGCAGTGTCCATGTCATTTTCTGTGGACTTTAACCACCTCCTGTCCGGCCGTTGTATATAAACGGCTGGACGGGGCACTGCAGGGTCGGGTGGCTGTTTTATAAACGGCCTCCCCGCACCCTGCTTGTGCACGCTGCCTGGGAGTGCGCAGCACCGCGATCCGGTGCCCGCTGTGTCGTCGGACGGGACCTCTGTACAAGGTCCCGATCATGTCATCACTGATTGGCCAATCAGTGATCACATGCAAAGTAGTAAGCAAGATATCACTAGTGACATCATTGCTTACTACGTGTGAAATCTGTGAATGATCACAGAGGTCACATGGTACAAGGCTATTCACAACAGCCTTGTACCATGTGACAAGCTGTGACCAATCGCATCTCACTCAGTAGTTCTCAATGGCTGCAAGAATGCAGAAAGAG